GTTAGGGTTAGGTCACCATGAACACATAGAGCAAAATGGACCTCGCCAACAAATTGGGAGTGCTTGGATATGGTTAGGAGGGCACTGACTTTTCTAGGCTGACCTATCTCTGTTTCCTTGTAAAATACATGGGAAAATCCCATTGGAGGAAAATTCCACTTAGGGTTAGGGTTAGGTCACCACAAACACATAGAGCAAAATGGACCTCGCCAACAAATTGGGAGTGCTTGGATATGGTTAGGAAGGCACTGACTTTTCTAGGCTGACCTATCTATGTTTCCTGGTAAAATACATGGGAAAACCCCATTGGAGGAAAATTCCACTTAGGGTTAGGGTTAGGTCACCATGAACACATAGAGCAAAATGGACCTCGCCAACAAATTGGGAGTGCTTGGATATGGTTAGGAGAAGGCCACTAGATCTTTTCTCAGGCTGACCTATCTATGTTTCCTGGTAAAATACATGGTGAAAACCCCATTGGAGGAAAATTCCACTTAGGGTTAGGGTTAGGGTCACCATGAACACATAGAGCAAAATGGACCTCGCCAACAAACTGGGAGTGCTTGGATATGGTTAGGAAGGCACTGACTTTTCTAGGCTGCCCTATCTATGTTTCCTGGTAAAATACATGGGAAAACGCCATTGGAGGAAAATTCCACTTAGGGTTAGGGTTAGGTCACCATGAACACATAGAGCAAAATGGACCTCGCCAACAAATTGGGAGTGCTTGGATATGGTTAGGAGGGCACTGACTTTTCTAGGCTGCCCTATCTATGTTTCCTGGTAAAATACATGGGGAAATCTCATTGGAGGAAAATTCCACTTAGGGTTAGGGTTAGGTCACCATGAACTCAGACAGGAAAATGGACATTGCCAACAAATTGGGAGTGCTTGGGTATGGTTAGGAGGGCACTGACCTTTCTAGGCTGCCCTATGTTTCTTGGTAAAATACATGGGAAAACCCCATTGGAGGAAAATTCCACTTAGGGTTAGGGTTAGGTCACCATGAACACATAGAGCAAAATGGACCTCGCCAACAAATTGGGGAGTGCTTGGATATGGTTAGGAGGGCATTGACTTTCTAGGCTGACCTATGTTTCTTGGTAAAATACATGGGAAAATCTCATTGGAGGAAAATTCCACTTAGGGTTAGGGTTAGGTCACCATGAACTCAGGGAGGAAAATGGACATTGCCAACAAATTGGGAGTGCTTGGGTATGGTTAGGAGGGCACTGACCTTTCTAGGCTGCCCTATGTTTCTTGGTAAAATACATGGGAAAACCCCATTGGAGGAAAATTCCACTTAGGGTTAGGGTTAGGTCACCATGAACACATAGAGCAAAATGGACCTCGCCAACAAATTGGGAGTGCTTGGGTATGGTTAGGAGGGCACTGACCTTTCTAGGCTGCCCTATCTATGTTTCCTGGTAAAATACATGGGAAAACCCCATTGGAGGAAAATTCCGCTTTGTGTTCATGGTGACCTAACCCTAACCCTATGTGGAATTTTCCTCCAATGGGGTTTTCCCATGTATTTTACCAGGAAACATAGATAGGTCAGCCTAGAAAAATCCGTGCCCTCCTAACCATATCCAAGCACTCCCAATTTGTTGGCGAGGTCCATTTTGCTCTATGTGTTCATGGTGACCTAACCCTAACCCTAAGTGGAATTTTCCTCCAATGGGGTTTTCCCATGTATTTTACCAGGAAACATAGATAGGTCAGCCTAGAAAAGTCAGTGCCCTCCTAACCATATCCAAGCACTCCCAATTTGTTGGCGAGGTCCATTTTGCTCTATGTGTTCATGGTGACCTAACCCTAACCCTAAGTCAGTGGTTCTCAACCTTTCTAATGCCGCGACCCCATAATACAGTTCCCCATGTTGTGGTGACCCCCAACCACTTATACATCACTGGGTGCCAGGGGCATGGCCAAAGGGGGAAAAAAATGGCGGACAGCCTTGTTTGGCAACCCCCATGAAATGGTCATTCGACCCCAAATGGGGTCCCGACCCACAGGTTGAGAACCACTGATCTACTCTATCCATCTCTTTTCTTACCTTCTCCATCTATCTATTCTATCTATCCATCACTCTTTTTTACCTACTCCATCTATCCATCTATTTATCCATCACTGTGTCTTACCTACTCCATCTATCTACTCTATCCATCACTGTTTGGTACCCACTCCATCTATCCATCTATCCGTCTTTCTTACCCACTCCATCTATCCATCACTTTCTTATCCATCAACTATCCATCTGTCTGCCAACTATCCCTCTCTTTCTTATCCATTCCATCTATCTACTCTATTTATCCATCATTCTTTTTCAGCTACTCTACCTATCCATATCCTATCTAATCTCTCTCTAGGCATCCCCTATCCTATCTATCTATCTATCTATCTATCTATCTATCTATCTATCTATCTATCTATCTATCCATCTCTATTTTCTTATCTATCCATCTGTATCTCTTTCTCTTTCTGATCTACTCAGTCTATCCATATCTATCCATTCTAGGAGAGAGATGCTGGCTACCGCCCGCCTTGTTTTCTGCAGAGGTTACCAAGAGGACACAATTCCTTACTTGAGTATCCCCCCCCCCAACTCCCGGGCACTTCCCTCCCTTTTCAATGGGCCATTGATGCAAAGGGAGCCTTTGCGGTTTGCAGCCCCTGCTTGAAAGGGCATGGACGGCCGCCAGCTCCCCGTCTCCATGGCCCGGCTCTTGGGAAAGGCTGTAAGGGCCTCATCGCCTGCCAGGACTTTGGGGCTGTTAGCGCTCGCAATTGCATTTTGTGGCCCAGTTAGCGGGCAGAACGGACAGAGAGCCAACCCACCCGCCCTTTCAGTGAGTAACAGCTGCGAAGGAACCAGCAGGGACTTCGTCCAACAGTTTGGGGTATTTTTATTTATTTTTAAAACCGGCAAAGCAACGCAGAGCGTTGCCGTCGCCCACACCATCTGCGATACACAAAAGATGGGGATCTACAGATAGTCCTTGACTTGGAGTGACTTGTTAGAACGGCACCGAATGACCGTTTTTCACACGAAGGACCGTCGCAGCCTCCCCAGGGTCACGCTTAGCATTCAGACGCTTGGCAACTGACATGTACTTATGACGGTTGCGGTGTCCCGGGAGTCGTGGGATTCTCCTTTTGCGACCCTCTAACGAGCCATGTCACGGGAGAAGCTAGATTCATTTAACAACTGTGTTGCTCCTTTAACAACTGCCGCGATTCCCTTAAGCCGCCGTGGCGAGGAAGGCGGTAAAACGGGCAAAATTCACTTAGCAAATGGTCTCGCTTACCAACGGAAACGTTGGGCTCAGCTGTGGTCCTGGGGTCAAGGACTATCTGTCCTTTGCTTGTGCTACTGGTCCTTCCTCTACGGAATAAGCAGCTAGGATCCAACCGCCGTGGTCCTGGAGCCTTGCTATATAAATAGAGGTACAACGTGCAGCTCAGATGATAGAAGCAGAATAGAGAGCACACGCAAACACCTGTCAGCTTGGCTCGTGTGAAGTGGAATTGAAGACAAAAACTGTGTTGGGCGTTTTCTTTTTCTTCCAATTTCCTTGCAGGTTTCACAACCCATTTATTTATTTTTTTGGACCATGACAGTTTTGTTTTTTTTAAAGTATCCGTTGACTGGTTGGAAACCGGTCAAGTAATTGAGAAATCTGTTTATTTTCTGGTGGAGTTGAAAGCTTCTGCTGTATCATAACATTTGACTTTGATTTTTTTTGGGGGGGGGGGGTATCAGGAGATTTATACAGTCTGCTGTCATTCAAGCCGATTTTTTGATGTAGAACAAAGACATCCAGTTTGTGTAGGATGAATGCACACAATAAATAAATATGCCGAAAGAGGAATTTAAAAATAAAACAAGATTTCGATCCTGCCTAAATTAATTCAAATGTTGTTCCAGAAGGGAAACATTTGTTTTGTTTGCTATGGAATTCTACCAATATCAAACAATTTTTCTCCCATCCTGACTCATTCCCATCTTATATATTTGCTCTCTGCTGATAAGACTCTACAAGCAGAACAATCCTAGTGGGTGGGTGTGGACCATAAGATATATTTAATTTTGAAAGTAAGCCCGTCGAAGAGCTCAATAAAGTGCATACCCCAATACATGCTCTTGACTTTCTCAGTTCTGTAAGACAGAAGTGCGTGGAGATGACATCAGAAAAATAGAAGAATACTGAAATAACATTTAAGGTGTAACTAACATGAGGACTAAATGGTCTCAGAGAAAGTTACAGTGTGGGGATTATTTTGCCTATTTACAACTAAAGCAAAAGCAAAGGCAACACAGTGAGAAATATTTTCTTCTTGGCAACCGCCCCAAGCAACTCTAAGAAATCCAAAATCCTTTAATTATCACAATCCCTGATATTTTAAAAAACACTGCATCCCCACTACAGTGGGAAAGTAGTTAAAACACAGCACAAGGGTGCCTTCCCAAAATTCCTCAGTAAAAAGCTGTTTTCTTAGAATAACATGAGTAGCTATTTCACACAAATGGATCGTTCACAGCTATTTTTCATACACACCTCAAACTTTTATGCGGTCTGGTTGATTAAACGTTTAAGATTTAAATTAGCTCCACAGGAAGGGAACAAGGAGTATAAGGTGAGCTTTTCTCCCCTAAGTGAATGTGATATTTCAATGTTAAAATCATCAGCATCCAAGATCCTGAGCAAGAAAGAATCTCAACTGGAAAAATTTGTCTTCAAATATGATGTTTTGACGGAAGGCGAAGATATTTTTCATGATTGTGGCAGTGTATTTAGCTGCTGAAATTTTTATCTTGGCTGCAATACAAGTGGATTAAAGAACTACAGTAATTATTTGATGTGCTGAGACATTGCCATAATTGGCTTCTGCCAAACTGCCAAGGGATTAGGAATTGGAGCCAAAGTCAATTTGAAGAGATATCGACGTAGAAAACGCCCAAGATTCCCAGCTGGTATCTAATAAATAGCAACACGTGAGAGGAACAATTGTTTTAATAAATGCTATTTCCAAAATTCCTCCTTGCTGCAATTTACTGAAGACGCTTACAAGAAAATTGGTACTTTCTCATCAAGTATACACAAATATGTAGAACTTAAGGAGATGTTTACACACACACAGAAAGAGAAGTTACATTGCGGAAACAAAATGTCAACCAGATGGACAAAGACTATTTTCAGAAATGGATCTTTCTTTCATCAGGGAACAAAGGCATATAATACTTACACCACAAATCAATCAGTCCCAAGCTAATCAGGGCATAGAAGCACAAGACGGATCTCAAGGGTGAAATTTAAATGTTGAAAGATGTCGACTGGAACCGGTTGAGTGGAAATTTAGAGTGCCTTCCCCATTTACTTTCTTCCTCCAATATTATTTTTAAAATAGACCTGCAAATAGACCAACAGCCTCGAACAAGATCTTAAGTCATCAAGGCTCAGTGGCTACACAGCAGAGAAGTGTTGCTTAGAGAAAACCACAAAGGCAGTATTTTGTACTGAAGCATTCCAACCCAAAATACGGTCGTGGAGCTTTAAATCTTGGATAAATGCCATCCTCTAAATCTTGAGTCCAGGCTTAATTGTACAGGCACAAATCAAGCAATCAAGAGCTTCAGAGAATAACCCCCTAATGACTGCTTCAAGTCAAGTCAAGGTTTATCGCAGAGCAAGTAAAAAACATTCAAGGAATAGCCAGTTAAAAACTCCAGACTGGATGTCAGATGGTGATTTTAATATAGAATTGTTATTTATTATTTTATTCTAGAATTCTTAACTGGATATTCTTTAAGTGTCTTTAGCTTGCTGTAGTCTTTGCAATAAACACTGACTCGACAAGGACTGCTTTATTGGTGTAGCTTAAGCTTGGGGTCAGGGAGAGGTTTTCATCCTATGCACCAGAAGCATCTTGACACAACCCAGCTCTGAAATATAGGGCAACCTTCCTCTTATATGGTTTCTCAATTGTATGCAGCTAGCCTTTTATATAAAAAAAATGTATATATGAGCAGTACATACCTGCTACACCTAAGGTGAAAGGAGTACTGAAAGGCAAGGTGTAATTGTCGTTTCTAATCCTTGTCCAGAATTGAGATGTTTCCTCCAAAATCTAGAAGTTCCAGAAGACAACGCTTCAGAGTGCTTTTATGAATGTACACGAAAGAAAGTAGCTTAAATTTCTCAGACTGCACTTAAGGCTATTCACAATTTTAATCACACGGCAAGATGGACTGTCAACCTCTTTTCCTCTAGCGCTTTCCCAATGCAGATGGGTAAGGAAAGGTCCAGCTGCATGAAATAGATTTAGTTTATAAACAGAGGTGAGAGACACCCCTGGATTCCTTAAAGCTGATCCTTGATTCGCTTGTCTGTGCTTTTGATGTTGACATCCAAGGTATCCACTTTCTGGGTGAGGCGAACCAGAACGTCATCCTGCTCATCAATTTCAGTTTGCAAGCCAAGAGCCAGGTTTTTCAGTCGGCCCAGCCCGGTGGACATCTCATCTGCAAAGACCCCCCAAAAGCATAAAATGAGCAACACAATAGGTAGACAAACAGACAACGTGGTTGTTGTGAGGTATCCAGGACTATTCACGAAAAATTCCCTTGATTCAATCAAAAGGCACGCTGAGAATCTGGCCCAGCCCAGCAGGGTGAATTTCACCCCTGCCTTGAGCCAAAATGGGGTATGTTGGGTTTCAGCACTGTGTAACTAGAACTACCGGGGTCAGTAAACCATCACACTGCAAGTCAGGTCATTGTGGCTTGCTCAACAAACATGATGAAAATTAACTGTGGTTTGTGCAAGGTATTCACTTTATCTTCCTAAATAACGTCAGCTTTGTCCCTATTCTTCCTTTTCCAGGAAATGGGAAAGGAAGATGCTCAGAAATCTAGAAGGCTTAACACAGGTGGTCCTCGACTTGCAACAGTTCACTTAGTGACCGTTCGAAGTTACAACGGCACTGATCACGTGATCAAAACTCAGATGCATGGCAACTGACTCATATTTATGATGGTCGCAACGTCCCGGGGTCATGTGATCCCCATTTGCGACCATCTGACAAGCCAAGTCAATGCGGAAGCTGGGTTCACTTTACAAGTGTGTTACTAACTTAACAACTGCAGTGATTCATTTCACAACTGTGGCACTTAACTCACTTAACAAATGTCTCGCTTAACAACAGAAATCCTGGGCTCAATTGCGATCCTGAGACAAGTACTACCTATAAGCAACTAGGATTAACATTGGGAAATGTGGGCTATCGTGACTCACCTAAGTTGTTATCAATTTTCTGATGGTAAGTGCGGAGATGCTGGTTCCTGGGGTAATGAGAAGGTTGGGGTGGGTTGTCTGAACTAGTTCCACTGGAACTGAAGTCTGGAAAGAGAGAAGAAAATGGGCCTCCTTTTTAAAAACTAAATCATATTCAAGGGCCTACCTATCTCACATGAGATTAGCATACATTCCCCTCCAAATGAACCAGGATTATTTTCTGATGAATAAACACAACAGGTCTGTCTGTACACAGAGCTCTGCTGCCCAAAATAAGACTGACGTTTATCAAGTTTTGTAAAACGCAGATAACCAAACAAACAAGGCCAGGCCAACCTGAGTTATCCAGCTTCCGTAAATTTGGATGAGTCTCCTGGTACTTGGACTCTTGTTCTTTACTGACAGATAAGGCTTCTTTTAATCTAGACAAGAGGAAGAAAAGGGAATTTCCCACGTTCATTCGGCATTTACGGCTCCGCTCGCTTCCAAACATAAACAGACTTTGAATTATCACCGTTTCTCAACCTTGGTCACTTTTAAGATGTACAGACTTTAAGCTGGCTGAGGAATTCCCGGAGTTGGAGTCCGCATATCTTAAAGTTGTCAAGGTTGAGAAACACTGCATTAGAAAAAAAAAATTCCTTTCTGCTATATTTCCGTATTAAACGTTTTATTTATTGTGGTTATAGATAAAGCAGCCGCTGGGGCTGACAACATCCTCTTGGGTTAAACCACAAACCCACTGACAGTTATTGGAAAGCCTGCACAGTGAAGGTAGAGAGATGATTGTTTTTATTTTATCACACCCTCTCAAAAAGAAAGATCCCAGACATGTAGTGGTTAAGGTGCTGGCCTAGAAACCAGGAGAGGAAACTAGGCGCGCCTTAGGCATGAAAACCAACTAGGTGACTTTCAGCCAATCACCAGGAGATTGGAGTTCTAGTCCCATTTTAGGCATGTAACTTAACTGGGTGACTTTGGGCCAATCGCGAAGAGACGCAAGACTGTTGTGACTTCTATCCCGCTTTAGGCATGAAAGCTGGCTGGGTGACTTTGAGCCAGTCACAGGGTTAGTGTGGTGGGAAAAGAGGAAGGAGATTATGTTTGCCATCTTAAATTGCAAAGTAATAAAGGTGGGATAAAAATCTAACAATAAGTTCAAGCCCAATGTTCCCTGGGCATGGGTGAACGCGGATGCCCACCCTTCCCTGCATCCTTAGAAGCATTTCTCAATTATCTACCTGTCGCTTCCTTGATACTGAGGGGCTCCATTCTCCTCTGGTTTGGTCTCTTGTGGCTTGGCTTTGAAATAGCTGACGAGGCCCCCAAAGACACTCTTAATGCTGTTGATGTGTTTCTGACTCGTCTTTAAGTCCTGATCCATTTTATCAACCATGCGTTCGGAACGCTTCAGGGCTTCCCCTTGCCGCACAAGTTCCTGCCAAAAGCAACGTGGGAGTTTCAAACAAACAAAAAACAATGGGTGAAAGGGATGCCGATTGCACAACGAAACACCTCTTGTTCAAAAGGGACTGTGGCTCTCTTTTTGGTAAGCTGAAGCAGTGGCAATATGAAATATCATTATTACCAATAGTCCACAATATTTGTTGAACCCTGGGGGTGCTTGGTATTTTCTGAGCTTGGTGGTTTTCTTGCAGACATTTCATGACCCAACTAGGTAATATCATTAGTGATAAAAGGGAGTGGGGTTTGGGGGGTGGAGAAGGAGCAGGGAGGAGGAGGAGGAGGGGGAGGAAGAGGAGGAAGACTCTGGAATCCTTGAGGTTCTCTGAACTTGCTTACTTGCAGGTATTTCATTAGCTAAACAGGCAACATCGGTACTCCGATATGACCTTGTTTAGCCTAACTGACATAGCATGCAAACACTGAAAAATGGGCTTTCGAGATTCTTGTTTACCTCCGATGCGGCGACTCCCACATGTTCAGACTCATAAATGAGGGACAGTGAGTTGTTGGTGCTGTCTAGAGTTGATTTGGAGAGTCTCATGACTTCCTGTTGTAAATATCTTTGTCTGTCTGGACCTTCTCTTGGAGGCTCCTCCCCTTCGTTCCACTTGACTGGCTTGAAGTCATCCTCGTCCTCATCAAAAGGATTGCAGCTTTTGGGGAAAGTCGACATAGCCGCAGCTCCGAGTTCAGGTCACTTCTATTTATAAGGCAGGTTGACGAGGACAGAATCAAGCCGACGTTCTTCAGACGAAGATTGAGTCCTTTGTGTGACAGGATCAATGGCTATGTACTGAAAAGCCAAACTCTGCAAGAAAAACAATTTCCATCATGAAACCTATTTACATTTGGCCGTACAAATAGTCCTCAAATTACCACCGTTCATTTAGGGGGTGTTCAAAGTTACAATGGCACTGAAAAAAGTGAACGTATGACCACTGCAACATTCCCAGGGTCACAGGATCAAAATTTGGGCTGCAGCATCCCAAAATCAGGTGATCACCATTTATAACCTAACAGGCTTCTGACAAGCAAGGTCAGTAGGGGAAGCCAGACTGACTGAATGACTGCTTAACAACTGTGGCCAAGAAAAGTCATAAAGTGGGGCAAAGTTCATTTAACAACCGTCTTACTTCGCCACAGAAATGTTGGGCTCACTTGCGGTCATAAGTTGAGGACTACCTCTAAGTCGTCCAGTGTCACTAAGGTGAGTTGGGCGGTATAGAAATCTGATAAATGTAAATAGAGCATCAAATGGCTTGAATGCACACTTCTGTGAAAACTTCCAAGAACAGCAAACAACTAAGAGTTCTCTTCTCACTACAAGGGACCAGCACAGAGTAGTTATGTTCCATCTATCTTCTAATTTGTCCAAAGAGAAATCTGTTATCTGGTTATGAAACAAACTAGTCAGTTTCAGGAAATCCCAACTGAACCAGCTGAGCTACAAATCCTGCTGTTCTCTATAACAGACAATTCATCTTTTCAGTCATCTTGAAAATGCTTTGTGGGCAGTTTTCCACAGCTAGTGCAGTTGAAGCCATGTTGGAAATGGAAAAAGGCAAATCTACTGCCATTCTTAAGGAAGGGCGAAGACATTCTGTTCCAGGCAGTCAAATAATTATTTGCCTCTTATTGAATGAGTCAAGACCCAGAATATCTTAGTCAATACATTGGCATCTAAAATAGGAAAAAAAAAAACACAGCACAGCAATAAACAACAACAACCTATGAACAATTTACTCACTGGGCAACTTGTTTCAGATCTCTGCTTGAAGTTACATAGTTTTCAGTCCCAATGTGGAAAAAAGGTTTGCTGTTCAAAGTTTGACATTTTCTCTACTCTTAAAGTTAACTGAAAACAGCACAAGGTAAATATACAAGTAAACTCTCATCAGAGCATGTTGACAGAGCCACACTTACAGAGTTTAAAGCAGGCTCTTTTCCCATGAAAAATAACACCCTGTTTTGCAAAATTATCAGCATTCCACATTTACTATTTCAGTAGCTTACCACAATCTACTAAACTTCTGTGGCAAGACACCAAATGACAAACACATGAGCACTTATTGACAGAGGAAGCCACAAAATTTCTTAATCATCAACTATTTCCGAATAATTTAAGGAAGTGCACTGTACTTCCCAGCAGTGTTTCAGAAATATATCTTGTTTATCTCCTTCGGATTTTAATTGAGTCAAAGTGCTTAATCTGACTTTCATATCCTTTCCCAGTTTGGGTTAGAGATCTCTATAGATTCCTGCCCAGGTTACAGAATCGTCTTCTGTAACCCTCTTCCAACTGAGTAGGGTGATAATCGCAGGACATCCAAAACAAAATATTCTTTTCATGTCTAAGGCAATGTCACTTCTGTATAAGAAGCTTGTTCTCACTTCCCAAGGCTAACCTTGTCCCTGCTTTAAAGAGTATTTTTAAAATATACAAACTCCGAAACAGTTGTTAATTGGACCTAACTCCATTATTTCAATTTATTATTATTGCAAGCCACAAGGCCAAACATTTCCCAAGGTGAGATCAGCCTTGATCTTTCTAGCATTAAGAAATCCCTGAAAAGATGTTTTATTTTATATTTTTCAGCAGGCTCGGGGCTCTAAGAGAAAGTACTACATGTAGAATATTGGTCTGTTTGCCTATTAATTTTTATTATTTTTACTTTTTATTATAAAAGTCAAACACATAGTAATAAAACTAATAATTACTATTGTTATTATTACATTGGGTGTTTTAACTTCTTTTCTTGATTTAACTGGTTCTTTATTGTATGCCACCCAGAGTCATGTTCATGAGACAAGTGGGTATATAAATCTCATAAATAAATCTCATAAATCACATAAATAAATGGAAGGTTCTTTCCTAAGGTCTTAAAGACTTCGCCCCCCCAAGCATTGAGAAATTAGATGACGGTATATTTATTGATTGATTTGATTTGTGTGCCACCCATCTCGGCAACTAGAGCCAGATTTTTTTATTATTGTTAATGTTTTACATTTTAACAAGCTGAGTTTTAAAGTTTTTCAAATGATTTATATCTATATCTATATATTTAATTTTAATTGGGATCAGGCCCGAATTGCCCCCAAATAGGCAGCTATATAAATGGTTTAAATAAAGAATTTAGCAGTAGGGGAGGGATGATGGTGACAAAACTGAAAGAACCCAGGCTAGCTGCGGATGATGGGCACCATAGTCCAGCATTAGTGGAAATCACTCAATTGGGGAAGACTAATCATTAATGGGGTAATTAAACTTGGACACCCCCACCCCTCTCAACCTTCATTCGCTCTCAGGAAGTCCACGGAGGAGGGGATCTTGAGGCCATCCATCTCAGCCCAGCCTACCTCACAGGGCCGTTGTGAAGCCCCGCTCAGAGGAGACCCCCCCCTCCAAGAAGGGCCAAAGAAAGAAACTCTATACATTTGACAGAATTAAAATGTCTAATTTTTAGGATTTGGGAGGATAAGCAAGGGCGACGCCACCTCAGCCGCCCCTTCCTCAGCCCAGCCTACCTCGCAGGGGTGTGGTGGAGCCCCGAAACGCCAAAGGGGAAAGGCAGGCCCTGAGGAAGGCAACGGCGCTGCCGGGAACCCCTCCGAAAACCAGGCGGCGATTAACTGACCGGATCGGAAGTTTCCCTCAGGCGACACCCACGGTTGCCCGGCCGCTGCCTCACTTCCGGTCACGAAGGAGGCCGCGGTTACTGTCGCCGGGTCGAACCATCCCGTCATCAGGGGGGTGGAACTAGAGCGGGGAGAGGCAATGAAAATGGGCGCGCCTGGGACGAACCACTCTGTTGCAAACTCTCGCGAGAAGAGCTCGCCGCTGCTTCCGAAGGGGAAGACGGCGCGTCCTGCGTGAGGGGCGTGGCCCGGCCCTGACAGCTTTGAGGCGGCTGTCAAGATGTCGGCGCCGGCCGCTGTTTCTTGTCGCCGGGTCGAGCCATCCCGTAATCAGGGGGTGGAGCTACAGCGGGAGGAGGAGGATGAAAATGGACGCGCTTGAGCGGAACCAATCCCTGTGTTCCAATCTCTCCCGGGAAGAGGCCGAAGGGGAAGAGGGCGTGTCCTGCGGGAAGAGCGTGCGCGGAAGAGCCGGCCTGCCAATCTCTGTGGGCAGCTCTCGCGAGAAGAGGCCGAAGGGGAAGAGGGCGCGTCCTGCGTGAGGGGCGTGGCCCGGCCCTGTCAGCCTGAGGCGGCTTCGATCGCCGCTTTTCCCCGCCAAGATGTCGGCGCTGGCCGTGGCCACCGCGGCCGCTGCCACCGCCGCGGCCGTCACCGCGACGCGCTTGGAGAGGCAGGGCAGCCCGGCCTCGTCGCGGGGCTTCTACTTCAACACGGTGCTGTCCCTCGCCCGTTCGCTGGCCGTCCAGAGACCCGCCCCGCTCGAAAAGGTGCCGCCGGGGCGGGAGGAGGGTGTGTGTGTGTGTGGGGGGGAGTCTCCAGGCTTGACAGAATTGTGTTTACACTGTCTCTGTGCAATTAGAAAGGCTTATTGCTTATTATAACAATTATAAACATATAATTATTATAAATATGAATATTATAATAAGCAATAAGCAAATAGATTTATATTTTTAGATTTAGATTTAACCTTTATTGTCATTTTTTTCCCTGTGGGCACAAGGGCACACATTAAAATTGAAATTTAGTTGCTTCCTCTCAAAGTGTACACATACATAACACACATTTAAAACATACTATATACAACCGATGTATAGACCTAGATCAGTGTTTCTCAACCTTGACAATTTTAAGGCATGTGGACTTCAACTCCCAGAATTCCACAGCTGGCTGTGGAATTCTGGGAGTTGAAGTCCACATGCCTTAAAATTGTCAAGGTTGAGAAACACTGACCTAGATGATTGATAGATAGATAGATAGATAGATAGATAGATAGATAGATAGATAGATAGATAGATAGATAGATATTAGAGGTAGATGATAGATAGGTAGAGAGATAGATGTAGAGGTAGATAATAGATACATAGATATAGAGGTAGATGATAAATAGATGATAGATAGATACATAGATATATATATAGAGAGATGCATAGATATATATATAGAGGTAGATGATAGATAGATAGATAGATAGATAGATAGATAGATAGATAGATAGATAGATAGATAGATAGATAGATAGATAGATTGAGAGAGGTAGATGATAGATAGATAGATAGATAGATAGATAGATAGATAGATAGATAGATAGATAGATAGATAGATAGATAGATTAGATATAGAGGTAGATGATAGAGAGGTAGAGAGGTAGATGATAGATACATAGATATAGAAGTAGATGATAAATGGATGATAGATACATAGATATATATATAGATAGATGCATAGATATATATAGAGGTAGATGATAGAGAGATAGATGATAGATAGATTGAGAGAGGTAGATGATAGATAGATAGATAGATAGATAGATAGATAGATAGATAGATAGATAGATAACCTTTATTCTCATTTTTTTCTTCTGGGCACAATGGCACACATTAAAAATGAAATTTAGTTGCTTGCTCTCAAAGTGTACATATACATAACACAATTTAAAACATACTGTATACAATATATGTATAGACCTACAGTCCTACATGCTTGCTTATAAGTAACATTGCTTATTATTATTTTTAAAGGGGACTGTTGTAATATCTTTTGGTCTTTGCAGCATATATAAGGGTTGTTCTCAAGCGGTTTGGTTGCTTCCAAGTTTTTGTTTTTAATTTGGTAGACATCCCTTTTTTGCTGTCAGTCAATACAGTACAGTCAGTAATTGCTTGTTTGCGTTCTGGTGAGTTTTTCTTATTACCCAAGGTAGGTGTAGCTCACATTAATCGGATTTATATGTCTGAGTTAGCCTGTGTGGAATGTGCTGTTTGGGAGTAAGCCTCTTAGATTATGGAGTAAATTTTTAAGTAATTAAGCATAGGATTACTGATTTTAGTTTAGAGCAGGGTTTTTTTCAAACTTGACAGGTTTAAGATATGTGGACTTCAGCTCCCAGAATTCCCCAACCAGCAATTCTGCGATTTGAAATCCACACAATGCACATGTATGTATAACCCGAACTAGACTGTTGTTTCTCTGTGTCATATAAAATATGTGGGTATATGCATAATTCTGTATTTATTTTTGTCATATTTATGTAGTGTATATCGGTGGTGGTGACCCTTTGAGAGCTGCATGCAATGAAATTTCATTTTAATGTATGCTGATTAGTGTACATTCAAAGTGACAATCAAGTTTTCTATTCTATTCTATTCTATTCTATTCTTTTAAAATTGCCGGCTTTGAAAAGATTCTATTCTAATTTAAAATTGCCAGCTTTGCGAGATTCTTTCTAAACTTTTTGGCTACTAATTGTTTTGGTAAAAGTGTATTCAGTGTTTCTTTTTCCCAATAGATGCGAGATTCTAAACTTTTTGGCTACTGATTGTTTTGGTAAAAGTGTATTCAGTGTTTCTTTTCCCCCATAGACTGTGTTCTTGTAAGATAGTAAAGTTGTAACTGCTAAAGGCATAAAGTAAAAATAAACTTTTGCCAGACTTCAATAAACATTTGCTAAAGTTAACTGCAGAGAGCAGAAGAGGGTAAAATAGAATACATGAATATAATAAATTCCCTTTTTATAAACCTGTAATCCCTTAATTCGGGATAGTGTCAGGACGACCAGATGGAGCTGAGCATTCACTGGCCGAGCCCATCCCAATTTATTGTAGCCTGTTTTGTGTTCTTCCACATACACAATCACAGATGTCTCTACCATTTTTCTGCACCAAGTTATCTTCAACTGATTTTCATTCATCTGTCTTTCTGTTGATTATATAATCTAACCTACAATTCAGTTGTGGTCATAAGTTGAGGACTACCTGTATAGCCTCCCTTTTCTTTCTCCCTTAGGTCCAAAAACTACTGTGCATGTGTCCTGTGGATATCCATGGGATTTTTCAGCTGGACGAGCGCCGCAGAGATGCTGTGATTGCACTGGGGATTTTTCTAATAGAGTCTGACCTGCAGGTACCCTTTCCTTTATTCACAAATACTTTTTTAAAAAAAGATTTACAATCCGTCCTTCCCTAGGTTCTTCAGGGCACCGGCCAAAAACTCGGATTTTGTGGACCAAAACTCTTAAAACACCGTAATATCTTACGTTTGCTAAACCGAGTCTGGTTAGCCACGTTAATTTGTTTAAAGCAGTGTCTCTCAACCTCGGCAATTTTAAGAACTTCAACTCCCAGAATTCTGTATGCTGACTGGAGAATTCTGAGAGTCTGAAGTCTACCCATCTTATTTGCTATGCTCAAGAAACACTAGACTTAATTGGTTGGTTTTGATTAGTTCTTTTGTGAAACCCTTTCTATTTTCTGCTTTCTCTTATTAGTCGTGTAGTGCAGATTATTTCCTGCTTGAAATCTGATCATTTGTGAAGTGCATTTGAGTCGAGGTTGGCTTCCTTCTTTTGCTGCGTGCATTCTTTTGTTATTGTGACTTTTTTTTTTTAAAAAAAATGTGCCGTTCTTCCAGCACAAAGATTCGCTCATCCCTTACCTTCTCCGGCTACTGAGGGGCCTTCCCAAAGTGCAGTGGATTGAAGAAAGCAATTCACGGACAGGCCGAGGTGATTTTTTACACTTTTCGATGGGGGGGAGGAGGAGAATTTAGCAAGATTTTAAGCTTAGGCCAGTGATTCTCAACCTTGGCAACTTTAAGATGTATGGACCTCAACTCCCAGAATTCCGTGGGCTGCCTGGGGAATTCTAGGAGTTGATGCCCACACATCTTAAAGTCGCTATGGGTGAGAACCACTGGCTTAGAGCAGTGGATCCCTGGAGTGTGTTCTTCTGGTTAATGGCAATCCTATTCCATTAATTACCAAACTTATAGGCATCCTTCCAGTCCCAGAAAACTTCAGCTTCTGTTTGGTGACCTTGCTGTCCGATGTTGCCTACAGAGATGGGTCCTTAAGAGAACAGGTAAGACTGGTGGAATTCAACGCATTGACCGTTAACTTATTTCTTCCTACCATTCTAAAGATTAAAATGCAAACAAACCTTGCTTAGCGACCACTCGTTCAGCATCCGTTCTCGATGAAGTCACCGAACAAGTGGTACTCATGACCTGTCCTTGAAATTCCGGCCGTCACAGCACACACACACACACACACACACACGCATACACACCTAGTCACGTGACTGGGATTCATCACTCATTAACGGGCCCGCATTTCTGATGCTCACAACATCCCACGATTTGCCATCTTACCATCCTCTCGTTACGCCCCGTGGTCACAACGTTAAACCTGTTTACGTACTGTTAATTCTGACCTTGGTTTTTTACTTTTTAATGGCCGGCCTTTATTGTTACAGGTTTTAGAGGCAATTTTGCAAGTGATGCAGGTTCTCTTGGGCATGTGTCAGTCTCCACAGATCCAGGATAAAGGTAAGCAAGATACGTAACAGATTTTGGCTTAATGTCATGGTTCCGACAGATGAGACTCTTCAAAAAATTTCGAGGCATTGTTTACCTTAAAGAATCTTTATTCAAATAGCATAAAACACACACATACACACACACATAACACAGAGAAACAACACAGTCTAGTTCGGATACATGTCTAGAAAAAAGAATCCTGCAAAGTCACAAGACGGATGGCACAAGGAGCAAAGCTGTCCTATTAATAGAAACGTTCTATTGGAT